GGGGGCCCAACTTGGTAAGTTGTTGCCTGGGGGCTTGCCTAGTTGTCACGAGGTGCCACGTGTTGTGATTTCACTGGAGGGCCAAATCTGCCATCATCAGATGTGTTTGTGAGGTTGGTGTGAGGCGTCATGTGTGAGGAGCATATACAGTCTTGCCAACACCAAGAGAGTTTGGATCTGCTCCCCATAGAGTGTTTCTCACACTAACGTTACAATGGTTTCAGCCGCACATTGGGAACATCTTCCGTATTTTGTGTTTTGAGATGTTCCCTATATATAGTGGGATGGGGCTGTGAGGTTGGTGCAAGGAGATGTTTTCGATTCCCACCAACATAGTTTGTTTCAACACCCTTCCAACATCATCTAACATTGCATGTCTCATCATTAGTCCAGAACCCACCATTAGGAGTGGCAACGAGTCGAGCTTTTCATGAGCTGTTCGACCTCGGCTCAGTTTCAATTGTGCTCGAGCCCAATTTATAGGCTCGATTAATAAACGAGCTGAGCTGGAATATATATATATATATATATATATTATTTATTTGTATTATAAAATTATAAAAAATAATATATATAATAAAATTATTATAATTCTTAATTTTTTAATATCAAATAAAAAATATTTTTTATATATCATTTTTTATTTTTATAAAATATTTTTCCTCAAATCAAGCTCAAACCGAGCCGAGCTCGAACTTATGAATTTTTGACTCGAGTTGAGCTTGAACTCAATATTCTAGCTCGAACCGAGCTCAAGCTCGAGCTCGAGCCTTATACAACCTTGGCGAGTTGAGCTCGGGCTTGGCTTGGCTTGAATCCACCCCTACCACCATAAAAGTGGGACCATAGAGATGTGCGGTTTCCGAATCCGGATCCGGATTCGCCCGACCCTGGCCCGTTAGCAGGTCTAGGTGCTGGTCTGCTGGCGTGTACTACGGTCTACACTACTACTTTACACGGAATTGGGATCTGCTCCTTCACACGTACCAAACCACCTAAATCGAACACGAAGGTGTTTCTCTGTCTGAGCTATTCGCCTGAATTTCAAAGTCTACAACACACAGCAAATCGAATCCAACGCGCTACCCCTGCGGCCTGCGAGTCTTCAAAGACGACGACTCTTTCAAACAATTCCATTTTGAATTCCTCCTCTCCGGTTCGATTATGCGAGATTCAGGATTCTGAGCGATCAACGAAACTATTTATTTGAATATTCCTCTATTTCTATCAAAATTCGAAAGATGGGATGCTGTAACAGCAAAGGCGGGGAGTCGACTGCCAATAGGATCGCTAGATGGCGGTCGACGGGCATTGTCGCTCTAAGAGATTCCAAATTGAAGGTAGCCTTTACCTACCCTTTTTATCGGATTTATTTCTGTTCGTTTCGTATCTCATACTTTTACTGTTTTTTTTTTTTAATTTAGATTTGAACTTGTTTTGGATTAAGAAAAGAAATCGGTTGATACGAGCTGTTTGTCGGTTAATTTTTTCGTTTAGTTTATTTCATTCTCTATGTTTTGCTTGTTGCATTTGATGAATTAGTGTTTTAGAGAACTTTATTACTTATCTCATCCTCATCGTGAAGACCAGACTGTTGGAACTTTGGACTACAATTTCTATCTGGTAATACTTGAATTTCAATTGCAGTGACCGTCTTGTTTCTCCATTGTAAATTTTGGTTCACTATTTTTATCCACTAATATAATTGTCATCCCCTTATGGTTTCAGTTTTCTGTTTAATTTATGAGCTGAATTTAAAACTTAGTGTTTATTGTCCATTTTATATTTAATCGTGTTTATGGTCTTTGAGCTTGCATCTCCCTCTCCTTTCTATCCTCCCCTAAGAAGCAGTCACACCCATACTCCAACTTTCTAGCGCAGTATTGCAAACAGAAGCGCTTGGTTTCAATGTTTTTGCTTATTTTCGTTTTTGACAGAAAGTGTTGCAATTCCCGTTACTTAGGACAAAATATGGAATTGTAGTTATGTTACTGGCGTGTAAATCTTGGGTTAAGTTTAGTTGCACTATGTCTCAAGAGAAACCACATGGATTAGATTACTTGCGTTTAGCTCTTGGTTTTGGTGCTGCCTTGGCAGTGTCTCGAATGAGGATAGCTCGTCGAGTTCAGTTGCATTTAGCTATAGTATGGGTAATGGGAGAGATCAACAAGATGGAGAAAAATAGTTTGATCGATTACATGCTCAAATCTATTGATTCAAAATGATGTGCAATTTATTGGTTTTGAGGCCCTTTTCACATAAAGCTGTCACAACTCAATATTAGTTTTCTTTCTCCAGTTGATGGGGAAGTGGTTCTGTTGGTTATTGGAGATCAAGTGAAGAACTTTAATGTTTGCTGCCTCATTGTTGAAATGTTTTGGTGTGCCACATTTAAAGGTAGTTGGCATGCTAATATCAGATTCTCTGGCTTTGCTTCTCAGTTGAACCACCTTGCTTCTATTCTCAGAGAAATTGTACTTTGCTGTTTTCTGGTGAAAGCATTTGCATAATGTTATATTTTACTAAACTGAAAAAATGTTATAATAAATTTTGGGTTGCTAGTAGTAAAAATTGTTAATATCTGAGGTTCAGTTTGGGAAGAGTATAAATACAAATATGTACAGTGCAAATACAAGGTTTAGAAATATAATATTACAAGGTTTTGCACCGTACATATTTGTATTTGTACTCTTACCAAACTAAGCCTGAGGAGAAATGACACCATCTGTATTATGAGTACTGTATTCAGATTTTAATTAATTAGGTCTATCTCAGTGTTGTGGGTGAAATTAATCTCCTTAGGATTTAGAATATATTTTATGGTTGGTTTTGCCTCATTGTTCTGGACACACTAACAGAAACTTTTTTTTAATTGTTTGTTATGGTGATGAAAAATATTAGAACAATTGGGTTGGTTGTCAGTTAAGGGAACCACGAAGATGATAATCATTTCTACTTCTTTTCCCCTTTTCCCATCCATTTATTGGTAAACTGACCATGAAACCTCCGATTGTACAGATAGTACCAAATGAAATTTTTGACTTGGAGAAATCTGTACGTACTCTTGATGTAACACACAATAAAATAGGTAAAATTATATTCTTATCTATTTATCTCTCTTTTACTTTCTTGTCCTTTCCCTTGCTTTCATTTGTTTCTTGCTTTAGCTGGCCAGGCTATCTTCCACAGAACAGTACATAACATGCAATGATTGGTCTGGAGCATTTACTTATGCAAACCTTAAATGCATGAAATTTCTGTTTCTCTGTATTTTCTATTTTTGTAATTTTGATCCTTCCAGGTAAAAGGTGCAAAGTTTGTGGAAACACTTTTGAGAAACACTTAAATGGTCCATTAATATATTCCCAAGTATACTTTTATCTAGTGTCTGTGGTTGTTTTGCATGCAACCATCATATCAAATTTAGTGGAGCACTGAAGCATTCTCAAGAAATAATTCAAAAATAAATTGATTAAGTTATTTCTACAAAGAGAGTTTATGCAGATACATTTTTAGACACCCATATAGGCAGATAGATAATGCTATTCTTTGCCCAAAGTTCCATATATGATAGTTTTGTAACTCACATAGATGGCTCATTACAAGATTAAATAGGTCCCAATGCTATGATTAGAGTATAGAGATTGACATTAAATACTTTTTTTTGAGTGATCTTGCTTTTCTAAGACTTATTTCTAGTGCAACTGATGTTTTACTTCTGCAGTTGACATTCCTGTGGCGATCTTCAAATTAACCAACATGCAGCGCTTGGTAAGAATCAAGCAATTTCATGTTTATGTGTAAAATACAATAAAAAAGTATTCATGTCAAGTGGTGTAGGGGTGGGAGTCTTGGATTCTTCTTTTTGATGGATTTATCAAAGGGAGTTTGAGGTCCAAAGTTTATCTTAAGTTCACTAGATGTCTGACTAATAGAGTTCTCCATGGTTGACTTTCACTTTGCTTCACTTTTTTTTTTTAATGTCCAAAGGATAAATAAATACCACTAGGAACATCACTGGAGCTCAACTTTTTTGAATCCGAAATTTCATTGCTTTCAACTATTAGCTTGTTGGCCCAATGTCCCATCCCATGATTGTGCCATATTGTGGGCTCAGGGGCCAAATAGGACTTCTATCTCTTATACCCTCCTGTTGTATGTGCTCATTCATTTGCATATGATACACCTGTATTGGACCCTTTAAGAAAGATCTGGATTTCTGTCACAGAATTTTTTGACAGGATTATGAAACAAGGGGCCTGAAAACCTGACAGAAAACTCTTTGTTTTCAGATATTAGCAGATAATCTTATTGAACGACTTCCAGAGAACCTGGGGAAACTCCAGTACCTAAAATTTCTCATTATTGATGAGAATCGAATTACCACATTGCCTGATGAGTGTAATTTTCTGCCCTAAATAAGTACTATGCTGTCATGTATAATGTAATTTGGTGCATTCAATGCATATTTTCATGAAGACAGTTTTATATGGTCATTTCTTCCCTCCTAGTTGACAACTAGTCTTATTCAATAGGGCCTTTACTTCTTATGATTTATGATATTGCTGTTATTTCTGACCATATATGAATTTCCTTTGTCCAGTAGGGTTGCTGGTGAGGCTTGAGCAATTATCTGTCTCTGGGAATTTGCTAACTTGCTTGCCTGAAACCATAGGTAGCTTGCGCAATGTGAGTATATATTGTTTAGTCAGCCACAAGTTATGTCCAATTGCTCTGCACTCTTTGTCATTGAGGCTACATTCATCTCAGATGGTTGTTTACTTGAATTTGCCTAAATTGTTTTGGTCTATGTTTCTAGTTTAGAATAAATCATTAACTAATAATCAATGTTTGAAAATATGGAGGCATGATGTGAGGTGTTTCACTATCTGGAGGTATGAGGTGTAGTACAGAATGCAAGAAGTGTTAGCCTCCTGTTACAAGGAGGCCTAAGCCTCCTCAAGAGGAGGAGGAAGAGAAGGAAGGAGTTCTCCTTTTCTTTTCTTTTCCTTTCTTTTTTTTCTTTCTTCCTCTCTGCATGGGCAAATGGTATATGGCTCAGAGGCACCCATGCCTCCAGAATACGTCTCAGGGTGTGCCTCCATGTGTATACCTCAAGCACCTTTAAAAACATTTCCAATAATATTTCCTTGTTCTGTTTGACTTTCAACAATTTAACTTCTCCACTGAACAAAAACTAGAAGATCCTTTGTTAGTTTAGGTCTTTTTCTAAATGTGTTTATTGGTTGTGGAGTCTCTTTTATTAGTTTAAGATTTCATGATACCATTCTAACACATAATAAGGCATATGAATGAAACTTCTAGAACTTTTTATTTATGTTAAACTTGTATTTTAGTGTGGTCAATGAGATGGAACATATTATACCAGAAGGCTCTGGGTCAATCCCTAGCATGATAATACCTATGCAGTATCTGAGGTGGCAATGCACTTAAATTGATAATGCAGGATTGCTTAGTTGATGCAAATGACCAGGTTGATCACTTGGTGAATTGCACTGGATGACCTTTCTCACATTACCTTTTCCTATAGTGAGACATAAAATGGACTAAAAGTTGGAGGATATTTGTAGCTTTGATGTTTTTGTGAATTGGGTCTTGTGAAATATGCGTTGATAATATGCATGATTTGTACTGTTTTGGATTGGAATATTTAGCTTCTCTTTGATAACTTTGATATTTATTTACTTGTATGTGCACATCAAACCAGACTGAGTTTTAGTACTAGTCTAAATATTGTCAATGGGATAAGATAATGAATAAATTGCTAGGATCTAGCTATGGTTTAAGTTACAATTCTAATGGAAACAATAAAGTCATAAGAAGAAAATTCAAACTATAACTATTCTAATAAAAGAAAAAATATTTATTGATAAATATGTAACTGGAATGTCCCTAAAGGGAGGAGGTTGACCTTGATGTTAAAATAGACTAATCAATCTCCAGATAGGATAAAGAGAAGACTGTACAAATGAGAATTACATCAATACCTGGTCCTGGTAACTGGTGTTACCCAACGAAGTTGGTCCCTGGTTACTCCATTACTTGCAAGGGAAGCAACTAAGGTGTTAGCTGTTCTAGGCATCCATTTGAACGAGCCTTAATATTTTGATTGACTGCATAATTGGAGGAGGAACTGAAAACTGTGGAAGAGGTTTGCGTTGGGTAGACACATGAAACTAAGGTGGCAGCATGAATAAACTTACGTTTATGATCACCACAATAGCATTGCTTGATATATTGTTTTTTAGTAGAAAATTGGGGTACAATTGTATAGTCATAGTGAATGTGTCTTGAAGGAGTTTTTAACTGTCATTTTACATTATTTATTTTTCCAATTGTATACTTTGGGTAACATTTCTTCCTTCTCAATCCTGGTTCAGTTCCATTTTTTTAATTTTGATGCCATGTGTACAGAGGAGACAAACTATACTGTCATTCACGTTCTTTGAGTTTCTATGAACTTTAGCTTTCAATATGATGTTGCAGGACCTAATGTGGATTCTTTGACAATGCAGTTATTGTTATTAAATGTGTCAAATAACAAGTTAAAGTCCCTACCAGAATCAATTGGGAGTTGCTTCTCTTTAGAAGAATTACAAGCCAATGGTATTTTCAGCTTCCATATATCATTATGCTCTCAGATAGCATGCATGATGCACGTGGACATAATGAAAAACAATTGATTATTTTGATTGTTCTTGTTCATTTAGAATTTCATTTGTTGAAATATTTACTAAGTTAACCTAATTAATCTACAATATATGCATATGTTTTTCTAAAATAGCTTGGGTTCTTCTGTAGAATTGCATGCTTGTGTGTGTCTGAGAGAGAGACTTATAGTGGCTGGATTCTTTGCTTTTGCCTTTTTTAATTGCATTTGTTGGTGTGACAGCTGACTGGTACAGCATTTGGAGAATTAAATTTGGTTTTGACTTTTAAGTTGTCCCAGCCAATGTTTTAAAAACCAAACTGAGCACTGGATCATTTTATTTCTAAATGGTTTGACCAATCCAGCTCAGTCTTATCTAAATGATAGTCAATACATCATAAGCATGTGTTCGTTCACTTGTGCAACACCTTATAGTTCCTTTTAAAAGATCTTCCCGCAGACCCACCAAAGAAGCACCTTACAACCCTCCAACAAAACCACCATTGCAGCACCTTATAATTTCTTCTTAGTTATCTTCTTGTAAATTCTTTCTTGCAAATTACCTCCTTTTCTTTAATTCTGCACAACCAATCAAAGGCTAAATGCCTACCATGTCCACTGCAGGCTGCTGGATCTCTTAGAAGCTAGTTCTCTCTCTCTCTCTCTCTCTCTCTCTCTCTCTCTCTCACACACACACACACACACACACGTGCATGTGCACATGCTTGCATTCTCACTTACACTTGAAATGATCACCACCTTGTTATCATCTTTCTCAAGGAAAAACCCTCCAACTTGTTCTTGTCTTTGTCTCTCATGCATCATCTCTTCCCCTTTGATATCAAGGAAAAACCCTCCACCTTCCTTTGTATACCCTTGTTCTTGTCTTCTATACCCTTCTTTGTATAGAAAATGGCATGCACACTTCAAAAAGGAAGTTAATGGATCATAAGAGAGAAAACAAAGAAGTGACAAAAACCTTCTTATTTTTTCTTGCATCTCATCTTTTAAGCTGTTGTGCTGAACTGGTGGAAAAAAAACCTGAGCTGTTCCCAAATTTTCATAGATGGAAAATGGTTCAAATGGTTCTGTCCGATTTTGATGTAAGGACAGTTTAATTAATGGATTGGATTGATAATTATGTCTCTTAACAACCTCACCTGGTTGATCATTCAGTTTGATCAGATTTTTAAGATGGTGTTTGGTTCCATTACTGTTTATCAGATAATTGGCACCAACTCAGTGCCACATAGGTGTTTCTCCCAATGAAGTTTGAAATTTTGTTTGGTTAATTCATTTATTGAGAAAATGTTTTTCTTGGGTTGTGTGAGAGCCATCATTGGAGGAAACATCATTTTTTATGTTCAATGGTAGGCGTTTTTTCCTATTCAGCTTATGTGGCTCCTAATGGTGCCTAGCTGTCATAAAGCAATAAAAAACATTTTGTCCCGATTTTCAAGGGAAAAATCGTACAAAACGTTTTTCTGATAAATGGCTATGGAACTAAACAGCCCCTAAAATACCAATCCTGGTCTACATTTTCTCATTGAACCATATCGTATTTGAAAAAGAAATGCTTCAATGGAATCATTGTATTTTAACTTAACTAATGTTCTATTAACTCTTGCTGGTATAAGTGGTTTCAGATGTTTTCTGTAGGTGTTATGCTTGTGACTTTTAATATTTTTGCCCTCTTTTTTTATCCTCAACTTCAAGATTCTGAATTGTGCTTGCAGGCAATTTAATTGATGATCTTCCGTCATCAATTTGCAATCTCGTATACTTAAAGTCCCTCTGCTTAGACAACAATAATGTGTATCAGGTATGAACTTCAAAACCTAGTGAAACTTCATTTGCTATTAATTCATTATACTTTACCTTTCTTCAAAAAATTTATAGGTATATGTATATAATGCATTTACTTGTTCTCATCTCTTGATTGCTAACTTTTGAATAGATAGAGAGCACTTTTTTTTCTAAAAAATCTCTGAACTATTTCATGTAAGGCAGTGCCCTTAATGAACATTGGCTATTGGTGAAAACTCGAGTTTTGTAAGACTGCATGTTCGTAGATTTTCCTTTAATTGCCCTGTTGGTATGCACATGTAACTTATTCACTGAGCAGAACTTATGTTTAATTCAACTGAGGTTCAATAAAGAAGTGAAAATGTAATTGTGATCACAAAACTTGATTCTTTTATAACTTTGCCAAGTCTATGATAATAGAGAGCTTATTGTTTTGTTAAAATAAGGAAAGGTAAGAAAAAAAATAGAGCGTCTTGTATTCTCATTCCAAATTTTGCTATCAAGAGAGTGTATCATACCTAACCTTTCTAAAACCTCTAAAGGATATATTTACCTTCAAAAAGTAACTATTAGAAGTGCACCTACAGTACTGATAAAATGTTAAAACTCTTTTCAAATAAACACTTGAGAATGATTCTAGAAAAACATGACTAAGTAGCCTTAAATTTTTAAGAACTATGAGGGAGTTAGGTTTATGAGCAGCAATTGTTTTGGGAAAAGTTGTAATTGACACATTCTGTATTACATAATAGTTGTTGGAAGTTCTTCCAACATTTGGTTGTAATGTTCATGATTTAACTAAATAGAATTTCCTTTACTGTTCAAAAAACAGAAAAAAAAGAACTACGAGGGAGTTAAACTTGTAAAGTATGAGGTTTAGGCAATCATGAAACCTAGTAGTTTTTCTAGATTTAGAGAGCATATTAGGGCTGTAATTGGATCAGATTCGGATTGGATTCAGCAAAATCGGATTCAAATCTGATTTGATTGGATTTGAATTCAAATCCTAACGGACTTGGACCAGATTCGGATTTAATTCAACTCCGCTTTAATTTCTTAAAATACCAAAAATAAAAGATTTAATTACTTTTCAACTTTTATATATAATAAATTAATATAAGTATAACACACTGAATTTATTATATATATAAATTCATATTTAATATATTATATAAAATATATTTTATAATTTTAAATATAATTATATACAAATTATATATTAAATAAATAAATATTGTAATGTAATCGGATTCAGATTTTAATAGGATCGGATGGGGTCAAATCCAAATCCGAATTCGATTATTAATCCAATGTTGATTGTAACATCCGAATCCAAGATAATCGGATCGGATGTCGGAGGGCCTTGGATTTTTGTGTATCATTGACAGGCCTAGAGCATATGTGCCTTCAAAAGCACATGACTTAAATAGCAAGAAGTGTTTAAGAACTGAAGGGAATTGAACATCTAGGATTTGAAATTTAGACATCGGTTAAACTGAGTAGTTTTCCTTTCCATTCTTTGGATATGTATGTGTTTGTTTTCACAACTTTATGATTAAATCTAGGGGTGCTCATAAAAACTAAAAAACTGGAAAACCGAACTGATCGGTTCAGTATTTTTGAAAACCGAAGGACCGGTTCAGTTTTCGGTTAACCTAGAAAAAATCGACAGTTAACCGAACTGACTAGTATATATATTTTTATGTATATTATATATTTTAATATATATCATATATTATCTATAATTCTATATTATATATTTATATGCATTATGTATATATATTTATAATATATACATTATAAATATAAAAAAATCGAATAGGTTGTTGGAATGTTAACTTTATTTATTATGTTTTATTCTGCTGAGTTAGGGTCTGTTTGGACAAATTAAAGCATTTTTTTTGTTTTTTATGATGGAACTTAAGTAGGGGCATAAGGGTCCTTTCCCTTCTAATTATGGTCGCCCTATATATATTAATATAAGCTGGCGCCGCCAGCACTGTAGTAGACTCCAAATCTCTCTCTTCTCTTCTCCTACCTCTCTTCTCCTCTGTTCGGCTGTTAATATGGTATCAGAGCTGTTCTGCTAGGCCTGTGAGCAGATTGAACAAGCTTCAACCTGCTGTCTTCTTCAACTGAGATAAAAAAAGTGCAGACCTACGACTGATACAGATTTTTTTTAGTGTTTTTTTCCTTTTCCTTGGTTGTGTACCAAGAAGAAACTATATGACTCCAGACTGCTGAATGTTTTCTGAGAAGCTGTGAGGTTCGAACCTCTTTTTTTTATGGATTGTGTGATCCCATGTCTGAGAATTCAGATCTGTAGGTCGTGGATGACCTGATCTTTTAACCCTTGTGGTGTAACCATACTGGTTTATGACCCCTCCTAGCAGTTGATGTGTTTGGGGTGTCTGGAAGTTGGTGGAGTGTGACTGCTAGGTCAGATCAGCTCTGAGATCACCCTAAAATCTTGCCTTTTTTGAACAATCTAGGCTAGTTTGTGGTCGGATTCTGTCCAGATTAGCGATAGGAGGGATCATAAGATGTGTGTAAGGTCTGAAAGGTGTTTGAATTATGTCCTCTGAGAATTCTGCAACTTCAGGAATTTCAGGAGGTCAAAATGGAATGAGTGGGGGGATGGATATGAGTTTCCCCATGGTTGTAATCCCCTTTGATGGACTGAACTATCTTGAATGGTGTAGGGGAATTAAACTTTATATTACTGCTAGAGGAAAAACTAGGTATATTAATGGTAAAATCAAGGAACCAAAGATTGGTAGTGCTGAACATGACAGATGGGACCAAGAAAATAGCATGGTGATGCCATGACTCTTGGTTTCCATGCTGCCACAAGTAAGGAAGACCTTTATGTGGATTGAAACAGCTTGTGAAATATGGGAACAAGCAAAGTCTACCTATTCAAAACAGAGACACTATGCAAAGATATATTAATTATAAGCATAATCCTCCACTTGCAAGCAAGGGGAGAGGAGTCTCTCGGTGTACTATTCAGACTTGACATCAATTTGGAAGGAACTGGATCATTATCAAAATGTGAATTGGAAGTGCGATGAGGATGCAAAGGCCTACAAATCACTTGTTTCCCAGCAACGGGTATTTGCCTTTCTTTTGGGGCTGAATCCTACATATGAATCCATGAGGGTACAAATCTTAGGAAGTAAGAACCTACCTTCAGTCCAAGAAGTTTATGCCCTAGTTTAGTTTGAAGAGAGCAGAAGAAGTGTGATGAATTGTACAGAAGGGGAACCGATTGCACTAGCTATTCGAGGGGGTACAAGTTCAAATGTTGGAGGTTCTTTTAAAAGGGAGATTCACAGAAGAGAGTGGATGACAAAGACAAACTTTGGTGCACTCACTTTCAAAAGTCCAGGCACACTAGAGACGTGTTGGGATCTTCATGACAAGCTGAAATGGACTCAGGAATTGAGTAAGAAGTCTAATCCGAGTAAGAAGCCAACCCAACGGAGTCAGAAGAAATATAACTTAGCAAATGTGGCATCTCAAGAGACTAGTCCCATGGTACCCCAAGAGCGACACTCTGGTTCTGACCCCAAGGAAAAGATCATCAACTCCTTTCGTGATCACTTGGAATTATATGGTAGGACACTTCGCCAGATGGATTCTGGCCCTACTCCTTCTACCTCCTTTGCGTCTACATTAGGTGACACTGCCACTGCATTCCATGTGTCATCTCATACATCTGATTCCCCTTGGATAATTGACTCTAGAGCCTCAAACCACATGACTGGTAAGTCAAATTTATTCAGGCATAGAACCTCCTATTTGGGAGAGATAAGGTGAGACTGGTTGATGGGTCTTATTCCACCATAGCCGGTCAAGGAACCATTTCCCTTCCTCTTAGTCTTACCCTCCCTAATGTGTTGCATGTTCTTAAATTACCTATCAATTTACTTTCCATTAGTAGTATTACTCATTCCTTTAATTGTTCAGTGACCTTTTTTTCTTCATGTGTATTTCAGGATTTGACCTCGGGGAAGACGATTGGTAGAGGAAGTATGGTGGATGGCTTCTACGTGTTGGAGAATAAAGTTGGTCTTGTGGCTACAGAGTCTTTAAGTTCTTCTAGTGAGAGTCATGCCTACTTGTGGCATAATCGTCTTGGTCACCTTTCGTTTGAGTCTTTAAAACTTATGTTTCCTGAGTTGTTTAAGTCTTTGTTAGTAAATTGCAGTGTCATACATGCCAATTGAGCAAACATTGAAGAAATTCCTTTTCCTTTAAGAAATAAAATATCTGAATTTCCTTTTCATATTGTCTATTATGATGTTTGGGGACCTATTTCTCTACCTACTGAGACTGGATATAAATATTTCATTAATTTGATCGATGACTACTCTAGATATACGCGAGTGTATCCTATGCGATCTAGAGATGAAGTGCCAAAGATTGTGAAAAACTTTCAACGAATGGTTTTCACTCAATTTCAAATTGAAATTCACATTTTTCAGTCGGACAATGCAAAAGAGTACTTCCATAGTGATCTCACAGAGTTCTTTGCTTCGTGTGGATCTCTTCATTGAAGCTCTTGTGCCAGGACACCTCAACAAAACGGTGTTGCTGAAAGGAAAAACCGTCATCTACTTGAGGTAGCTCGTGGTTTATTACTTCATATGAATGTTCCGAAACGTTTTTGGATGGATGTTGTTACGTGCGCTACATATATCAACCGTATGCCATCTCGATTACTAGAGTATAAGGCCCCACATCAACTCTTGTTTCCTACAGCTCCGTTGTCCCCTATTCCAATGCATGTCTTTGGGTGTCGTTGCTTTGTTCATGACTTGTATCTTACTCGCAGTAAACTCGATTCCCGTGCCACTCCTTGTGTTTTTCTTAGTTATCCATTATCTCAAAAGGTTACCGCTGCTATGATCCTAATTCAAGCAAGTACTATGTCTCCATGGATGTATCATTCTTTGAGAGTCAACCATTTTTCTCGATTTCTCCTCAGGGGGAGAGTAGGGTTGAGGAGAA